CATTTGTATTTGAGACTAATTTACGCTGGTCTAATTTCAAAANGCATGCATAACAATTTTCAGCTTCGTGTTTTCCGGGATTTGTCCAAATCATTGGTAAACCGAATGGTAACGAAAATCGTTTTTTTGTCCACCACAAATTCATCGCACTAATGCACGAAATACATGTGAATTCGGGAGTGTATTTATTTTGTGCAGGCTCAGATTGCAAAATGTACCATTTATAGCATGTTAGTGCATTTGTATTTGAGACTAATTTACGCTGGTCTAATTTCAAAACGAATTTACCACAAACGAAACAAAACTTGTTTAATTTATTGCAAAGCTTTTTAATTTTTTTCGTCTTTAGGATTTTCCGAAGACAATGATATGATGAATAAAAGTTTTTCGCAAAATTTTCAATGTTTTTTATCAATTAATATGACAGTAATCGCGCGCGTAGATTTTCGGTTTGTGTTTTTTGGTTCCCAACTTATGTGAAATAGACGCGGTATAGACCGCCGCCTATTTGAAAGAATTACTCAGTCACAGGGAACAGATTTTGTGGAAATTGTTTTTTTTCTGCTAAAGAGATAGAGTATATTCGATTAAGAATGTCCACGATTTAGCTTTCCCTGATTCCATATATATAAATTTGATGTTGCCTTTTTTCCCTTTTTTACGATATTTGCCTTTTTTTTCCTTTTCTACCTTTAAAAAAGGAATTATAGCATTTACATTTTTTTTTAAGATTAAAAAATATACACATGCCCATGCGGCTTATAGAAGCGCAGGGACCTCTTGCCAAATTGGTGTTGGAAAAATTCAAAGCCGTTTTCTCAGCTAACGTAGGCTTGGAGACAATAAGGGGTGTGGATAAAATTGTGAAGGGCGAGGAAAACGCCCTTATTCCTGATAAGTGATATATTTAAATTGGGCTCCACTTGTATAAACTTACGTCGNTCGAATGAAAATGCTGCCAGAAAACTTCAAAATGCATCTTGTGGTTCAATGTTACTACAACTATACAGATTAAAGTTTTATGAGTTAGAAACTCGAAAGGATAAAATAGTCAAAGATTCAAAGTACAAATTTTTCATATAATGAAACTAGTTCATAGTTTTTCTCTTTTTACTTGTAATATAAACATTTCTAAAATAAATGTATATTTTGATTGTTCTTCGTATTTTATGTCTTTTTTTAGTGCCTTATTTTGCTTTTTTTGCAATACCTAGTGCCTTTTCCTGCCTTTTTCGCTATTTTGTTTTGCCTTTTTTGCAATACCTAGTGCCTTTTCCTGCCTTTTTCGCTATTTTATTTTGCCTTTTTTATAGGTTTTTAGGTCCTAAAAATCCGTTCCCTGCTCAGTCACTTTGACTTTAACGATCACAGCAGCAGCTTTCAGAGTACAAAATGGTATTCAAAAGCCATTCGTACAACAGAAACTGCAAAAATATGCCAGAGTGGGATTGAAAACAACCCAAATTCAGGTCCAAACAGTGTATAAACTACTATTATAAAAAAATATTACGAAATAAAATATGAGTTGTAACGCCAAACCACATATGGGTGTTTCCAGCGGAAGGTCCACCACGACAAAAAAAAATAAAAGTTTTATATCTAACGTATTTAAGGGCCGATTTGTCTGCTTTTTAAAATATATACTGGCTATGTAAGTAGAATCATCTTTGCATAAAATGGTCTTCCTAGGTGGTGCCAAGGTCGAGATATTTCGAAAAACCGTATTTATGGTCTGATTTGGTTCGAATTTGGCGTATGTGGTTGAAACATAATAAATCATAGATTTCTAATATATTGACCCTGAATTGGCGCTGAAGTCAAAATATAAAGTATGTTCTACATAAAATACATGTTTTATTTGCGTTAAAAATTCATTTAAAAGCAATATTAACAAAAATATAACGATGGAAATTTATGTCACGTGACGCCACGTCACGTCACGTTTCACACTTGGGGTTGTAAAAGAGAATTGAAACAATTTGCATTAATTCAAAAAACTCTAAAAACAACTAGAATTGCTCCAAATCATATTAAAATAAGTTTCATGAAAATAGCCATCCACAATTCGCAGTTTTGCGATTTTGTAAGAAAAGAAAAAATCAACTTCCATTTGTTGTCACGTAACGACACTCTCTTTAAATGCTTATATTTCAGGACCAAGCAGTTCGATTGATTTCATTTTTCGGTTAAATATAGAGCTAATTATGTGCTATACAATGGCCCAAAAAAGTTAAAGAAAACAAATGGTATTCCTTTTTTGTATCACATTGATATCGTACGACTGTCACGTGCGCCACCATGGGAATGCCCAGATCTGAACAATCAGTTGTATGTTATAGTGAACCGATTTCCATGATTTTCAGAAATAGCTATGGTAATATCAAAATTCAGTCACGTGCAAAATTTTAGTAAAATAACCTTAAAACTGAGGTAATTATTAACAAAAAACCTAAAATTTAAGCAGATTTTCAAGCACCGTTATCTCGAAAACTAGAGCCAATCTGGAAAAACGGAGGACCCCGTTGAATTTAAAAGATCCCAGTTAAGTAAGATCAGTTATCAAAACCTTTGCCCAGAAAAAACTTCAAAACCTGAGCACAGTGTTTTAAACGACGAAGAATTCACTTTCAGAACTGTAAAACTTCCCCCTCAAATATCTCAAAATTTTGACGTGATACAGATTTTCTGAAAACGCCATCGTAATCTAGAGGCCAAAATTAAGTTTACGTATTTGGCCGTTTAGCTGTGATATTTTTGCCTCCCTACTGTGTAATTGCTAACTCGATACTCTTCTTCTGCATCAAAGCAACTGTCAAAAATTTCCAGCAGTAAAGAGTTACGAATTGGCACATAGTAAAAAGTTTTTCCTTTTTTCTACTGATTGGCACAGGCCCTCACAATAATAAAAAGCAAAGGCATGAAACAAAATAGCATTTTTTTAAGTTTTTTCTAACTTGATACTTTCATACTTAAAAATAAAATTAGTGATACATGTGATACATTTTTTTCTTTTCTTTCAGATAGAATTTCCTGACTGAAACCGAACTAGTTCGAAAATAACCACACTTGTTCCAAGTACAAGACGATATATCATGCCCTGTTTTATTTGACTTCGACAGTTTAATACAATAGAGTACATAGAATATTATAACTTTTATGTGGGTATATTGTAAACCGTTACAGCGAGTACGTACTTGCAATTATAAATAATGATTAATATTCATAATGATTATTAATTAAAGCATGTTTTTTGGATAACCGTTCAATGATTAAATACCGATATTAGCACATTTTTAAAGATTAATAATTATGTAGTTACTTAAACAAAATTTTTTAATTAATTCGTTAATTTTAATTACATCATTATTTTGTTATTTTTGATCATTTTCAATTATTTTTGACTTTTTTTAATTACACGATTAATAAAATNGTACTAAAGAGAACGGACATTTTCCAAGGAATCTCCCGCTATTCTCTTCACCCATCTCGGTCTTTGCTTGCAGACGCTGCTGTATATGTAATATATAATATATTCTTAAGTCAGTCAGCATCAAACTGTCAAGTAGAGTAGAATTGTCGCGCAAATAAAACTGCTGTAATTTAAAATCAAGAACCTCGTTTTACTATAGTGGAAACTACACATTTAATGGTGGCCCATGAGGGGAATATTCCCTTGAAATTTGATTAGTACAGTAAGGAAGAACAATTAACGCTACTAGGTAACATTTTGTCTCCCGCTAAGACGTGCTCGAAAGTTGCATCCGCATTTTGTACGATTGACTCCGCAATCTTATCGCCGTGCAATTGTGCCCCCGCCCCTCAGCAAGTCTCTTTGCATCCGCTTTGTGCAAATTGGCGGTTCGACTAATTCCTGCTTTCAGCACTGTGATCCATCGGCGCTACCTGCCGCTCAGCATTCTTGAAGGTCAACTCAAGGTTCTCGCGCTGTCGCTTCACATATACAAGCCCAGGCCTCAGTTCACCAGAGACAGCGATTATCAACTACACCACGCAAGAGTGAAATAGGTGTATGTGTGCATTTAATTTGAGTGTTAATTTTCGAATATCGCTGAGTGTCACTCAAAATAAGATGAGTGAGTCCATTGAAGCACTAATTAAGCTACAGCTGAATCGATTCGCAGCACTTGAAAAGATTCTGGCAAATTTTAAGAAAGATTCAACTGCACGTAAGACAAAACCATATTTTCAACAACGGCTGTCGCGGATCGATGATCTTAACAGTGAGTTTTGTACCACTCACAAATTGATTGTTTGTTCCGATATCGCCGAAGACGATGGATATTTCCGTGAGGATGTAGCATCTCAATTTGAAGAGATGCATCTCGATTTGTTTTGTTTGCTGACTCAACGCCAGGAAGAGATGTATCCCCGTACAATTCCGCCGGATGAACCAGCAGCCGTCGAATCTTCAAAATCGAAATACATCCTCTATTAAGCTGCCACGATTGCCAGTTCCCTCGTTCTCTGGAAGATTCACTGAATGGCCCAGCTTCCATGACTCTTTCAATCGACTCATTCACCAAAATATTGAGTTGAACTCAATACAAAAATTTCACTATTTAAAACAAGCACTTCCAGCCGACCGAGATGTCGATATACACCAAATGCTTTTAACTGAGGTAAATTATGATACTGCTTGGGACTTGTTGCTCAAGCGTTACAACAATCCGCGAATCCTGTTTTCGCAGCATATGAACACGCTTTATAATTTACCCCAGTTATATAAAGAGAAATCTGATAACATCAAATCAATGCTGAACGTGGCAAATGTCTGCGTAAATGAATTTAAACGCCTAAAAATTCCAATCGGCGGATGTGACCTCTGGGTTGCTCATTATCTTGCGACCAAGCTGCCAACCGATACGCATACCGCATGGTAGCGACATCTTGGAAGTAAAACCGACATACCAACATTCGGTGAGCTGGAAGCGTTTTTAAATACTCGTATTTTCACAATCGATGGAATCGAAAATCGCAGCATGACCTTTACTGCTTCATCTGCAGTTAAATCTCCAAAGGATACAAAACATCAAACCCCTTTCAATTATAACAACTCAAAACCCATTCAGAGATCGATTGTTAATGTTAAAAGTTTTCAAGCTGCTCCAAACGTCAACACCGCTCAAGTTGAATCTTGCGCTTTATGCGGTCAAGCACATATTATACGCCGCTGTCCAACCTTTCTCTCAAAAGATTGCTATGAGAGGAAGGCAATCGTTGATAAGGCAAAGCTGTGTCTTAATTGCTTAAGTAAGGCTCATGCACTTTCTAAGTGCACTAGCATCAAAAATTGCCTCCAGTGTGGCCAACGTCACCACACTTTACTGCATTTTCCGTTCGCTACAAAGACTACTCCTGCAAATAACGCTCTTCCGCCATCAACTCAACGCGTTTTATCCAATTTCAGCAACGTTTCAGCACCTCCACAAGAACAATCAGTTCCAATTTCTTCAAACACACCTCTTTCGACAGCAGTTTTAGAGGCAAGGCGCTTCACTCGCGCTCATTCTACGCTAGCGGCAAATTCAACACAATTGGGTGTCGATAGGATCCCCGTACAGGGGCCGAGACACATACTTCTTGCCACGGCGTCAGTAGTGCTGTGCAACGAAATCACGAATCGATCGGCGATAGTACACGCTTTGATCGATCAAGGATCCGAAGGAACGCTTATTACAGAAAATGCTGTTCAGCAATTAGGCCTGCAGCGTCATCCCACCGCTGCAGATATATGCGGAGTAGGCCCAAACCTATTTAGCCAATCACGATCATTGGTTAGCTGCACTCTTCGTTCATGCCACGATGAACACTTCGCCGCTCATATTGAGTCTGCTTATGTTCTGAAGCAACTCACAGCACCCCTGCCCAGCCAGGAAATTGTGCCACAAGATATGGCACATCTACGAGGACTCGCTCTCGCCGATCCCAAATACTACCAGCCGAAAAGAATTGACCTCATTATCGGCGCAGACATGATCGCCCAAATATTGGAGCCGGAAACCCGCATTGGCCATGTTAACCAACCTATTGCCCAAAAAACTCATTTGGGATGGATCCTGTCGGGACGAATAAATTCTGACACGCCTTCTATTGTCACTATTCGCTGCCACCACAGCAATCTTGAGCTTGAAGGGCTTGTGCGAAAATTCTTTGAGAACGAACATGTGCCCACTTCTGTACCAATGTCCGCTCAAGACCAGTGGTGCGAAGATTTTTTCCGTAGCACTTACACTCGACAAGCAAATGGTAAATATCTGGTTCGTTTGCCTCTGAAGTCATTATATGATCCTAACCAAACTATAGGCAAGTCGAAACAAATTGCACTGAACAGATTTCATCAGCTAGAACGTCGACTCCAGCGTAATGCCGATCTCCGTGAGCAATATGAGGATGGAATTGAGGACTATTTTCGCCTGAACCAAATTCGCCCAGCTATGACAATGGAGGAACAGCACTGCTCAACTACCAAATGTAACCAGCTAACCGTAACATCCTGTGTACTGCCGCATCACGCGGTGGTGAAAGAAACGAGTGTCACTACCAAATTACGCATTGTCTACGATGCGTCCTCGAAAACGTCAAATGGACGTTCATTGAATGATTTACTATGCACTGGCCCACCATTACAAAACGACCTTTCGGCTGTCATCCTGAAGTGGCGACTGCATAGATACGTCTTCTTGGCCGATATACAAAAAATGTATCGATGTATCGACATGAACCTAGAGGATTCAAATTATCAACGCATATTGTGGCGCAACAAAGATGGACATGTTTGCGAATACTGTCTCACGACGGTGACCTTTGGAACAGCGTCCGCGCCGTACACTGCAATTAGAGTTCTTCATCAGCTCGCGCACGATGAAAAACACCGATTCCCCCTCGCTGAGAATATTTTGCTTCACGAGATGTACGTTGACGATGTACTAAGCGGAAGTGATTCAATTGCTAATGCAAGACTGTTGCGTGATCAACTGATAGCGGCGTTAAAGTCAGCTGGCATGGAACTCAGAAAATGGTCCAGTAACACTCCTGAACTTTTGCACTCTATTCCATACGAGCATCAATCGTATGATCCAGCACAACAACTCAACACTAACGAGACGATCAAAACGCTTGGCCTGCATTGGCAGCCGAATCTCGACTCTTTCACTTTCTCAGTCAAATTTGCTATCAACTCCAGCGCAACAAAAAGATCGGTTCTGTCAACCATTGCCCGTTTGTTCGATCCCCTTGGATTTCTTACCCCGATTACTGTAGCAGCGAAGGTAATCCTAAAGGAGATTTGGGCAACGAAAATTAAACGTGATGATGATCATTATGTAGCTTTAGGTTGGGATGAAGAATTGCCTCCGACTATCAATGCAAACTGGCAAAGGTTTGTTACTGAATTGCCACAGGTAAAGGCGATCTCTGTTCCACGCTGGTTACATTACTCGCCGCAACAACAACTTCAGTCGGTAGAACTACATGCATTCTGTGATGGCTCCTCCTCGGCATATGCTGCAGCGGTATATTTACGCTTGCACTACAGCAAGAAGGACATTTACACACACCTAGTCGCCGCTAAAAGCAGGGTCACGCCTATCGGCTCACTTACAATCCCTCGAGTGGAGTTATGCGGCGCTGTGCTGGCATTGGATCTCTCCAATTGGGTTCAGAACACCCTCAAGCCAGTGTATGGAAAACTGCCAGTCTACTTCTGGTCAGACGCAACAATTGTCCTTTATTGGATTCACGGTGATCTCAACAGATGGAAACTATATGTAGCAAATCGTATAAGCAAAATATTGTCGCACAGTACACCTAGTCAATGGAGGCATGTTGGCACTAAAGAAAACCCTGCAGATTGCGCCACGCGCGGTTTGTCACCAACACAGTTGAAAGATTTGGAACTCTGGTGGAATGGACCACGGTGGCTAACGCAGCCCAAGTCAACTTGGCCAACTTGCTCCATTAACGCGTTAGATGTCGGTGATACAACACTGGAAGAAAAACCGGCTAAAGTTCATATTCATGCAGTTGTTGCAATCTCATCGTTTGTACAACGTTTTTCTTCACTTAAGAAACTTCAACGCATCACCGCTTGGATGTTACGATTTTATTATAATCTTCAGCGTAAAATTAACCACGAGGGACCAAAAGGTGGCCCACTGACTCCAAGTGAGTTACAACAAAGTTTGTTTTGTATCGTTCGACTGGTGCAACAAGAAGCTTTTCGAACAGAAATACATTTGATCGAAACCAAACAAGTTGTGCCAAATAGCAGCAAACTCGTCAGCTTAACGCCGTTTCTCGGAGAAAGAAACGTTCTTCGTGTACGCGGTCGGCTTAAGCATTCTCTCCTCCCTTACGACCAACGACACCCAATGATATTGCCGAGTAACCACCATGTAACGAAGTTAATTATTGACAACGCTCATTTCAATACCCTACACGGTGGTATCCAATTAACACTTTGTACCATCCGAAAACAATTTTGGATCATACATGCGCGCAAAACGGTGCGCAACCATCTTAAAAATTGCATAAAGTGCTTTCTTAATAACCCACAACCCACTACACAATTAATGGGAGATTTACCCTCGCAACGCGTTAACCCTCCTCAACGCGCTTTCTACGCAACAGGTGTTGATTACACGGGGGCCATCGAGTTGAAATCGTCAAAACATCGCGGTCATACGGTTTACAAGGGATATATAGCCATATTCATATGCCTGGCTACGAAGGCGGTGCATATAGAGGCAGTTACTGGCATGACAACGGAGCATTTTTTATGGGCGTTACAGCGTTTCATTGCCCGCCGTGGAATATGTCAGGACTTGTATAGCGACTGCGGCACCAATTTTGTTGGAGCTGATAAAATTTTGAAAATTAATCAAAGGCGATTTGTCGAAGAAGTTGAGCGTGATATTGTACCTCAATTAGCCGTACAAAACATAAATTGGCATTTCAGCCCCCCGTACTCTCCAAATTTTGGCGGGCTGTGGGAGGCTAATGTAAAATCCATCAAATATCATCTAAAACGCATTATCGGCGGAACTAGACTAACCTACGAGCAGCTGTCCACAACCTTGGCAAGGATCGAAGCCTGCCTTAATTCAAGGCCCTTGTGCCCGCTGACATCCGACCCCGATGACCTCTTTGTGTTAACTCCGGGGCACTTCTTGGTCGGGGACGCCTTACTTTCACCACCTGAAACCACTCCTGATAGCAAATCCCTTACATCGCAGTATTTTGATATGCAGCGATTGGTACAACAATTTTGGACCAGATGGTCAGCAGACTGGCTCTCTCATTTGCAAGCACGACCAAAATGGAGGCAGGAGGAGCAAAATCTCTGTGTAAACGAGCTGGTTTTGGTGAAAGATGATAAACTACCCCCCACTCAATGGTTGCTGGGACGTGTGACCGAGGTACATCCAGGATCAGACCAACTTGTACGAGTAGTTACTGTTCGTACCCAACACGGCCTTTATAAGCGTTCGATATCGAAAATTTGTCGATTGCCAATACCATCTACCAGCGAAGCGAGGGATACTACTCTGCTTAACTAACACTCTTGCACACACTTAACCTTTTATCTCTTACCTTATTATAGGTGAAACCCACAACCTACATCAAACCAGATCAGAAACGATGTCATAGCAAATCAGAGGCGCTTCGGTTCGCAATGCTGGGCTCAGCATGTACAATCTGGCAGCCTTATTGTTATTTTGAGTACTAAAGGGAACGGACATTTTCCAAGGAATCTCCCGCTATTCTCTTCACCAATCTCTGGCTTTGCTTGCAGCCGCTGCTGTATTGTAATATATAATATATTCTTAAGTTTAGTCAGCATCAAACTGTCTAGTAGAGTAGAATTGTCGCGCAAATAAAACTGCTGTAATTTAAAATCAAGAACCTCGTTTTACTATAGTGGAAACTACACAAAATTAGTTTACTAATTTCAATTATCAATCAACAAGCCAAACTATAGGCAAAAATTAAGAATATTTAATAACTGCTTGATTTTTTTATATATTTTATTCTTATCCAAATCTCATATTTTAAACATTAATTATTACTTTTAAAAAATTTTAAAAAGAAAGGGCTGTAATGTGCTAAGTTAGTGGATTTAATTTATTTTAATGAAAACGTTTATTTTTATTTTAGTTCACTCGAAAATAAACTAAAGCATTTATTTTATTTTCAACTAAAATGTTTTCTTTTCCATATTCTATAAGTAAGATAAAAATATAGTGTTTATTGTACCAAATCTAAGGCTGGTAAATAAAAATTTGTCATGTATTAAAGTGTACTTAATCAAAAGTTTTTTATTGTAGTTGATTGCATGGAAAAAAGATAGTTGGCTGACTAGTTGGGCAGTGTAACGCAGCTTTTCACTTGGTATGATTGTGTTTGTGTGAGTGTGGATCCGCCGGATGTGAATGCAGCTATAATTCCAACAAACTACTCGTGGTGAAAGCAAAGGAGTGAAACCTTGATAACCCCTGTGAAGACGGGTAAAGCAGTGATAAGCGTGAGTGTGTGCATGTGTGTGTGCATTAGTATAGCTACCCGCCGAGTGGAATGAATCTTCGGGAATTTCTGGCGGATTAGAAAGATGAGTGACTTCTTCGGCTTGATCAGCGCTAATAAAATAGCACTAGAAAATTCTGAGGAAGTCAGTCACTAAAAAAATTAGTTGTTGGTGAAACGTCGAGCGGTCCGATATAAAAAGTTTTTGTGCAGTGCGGTTTCCATTTAGAAAAAAACAGAAGATTAATATTTGAATGTTAAGGGTGATACACTTATATGTGCACTTAATTTACATATATATATATATATATATATATACCTGATAAACGGGAAATAAGCGTCGTTAACGGAACTTATTCTGCTACCGGGACTTACTCGAGCCATCGAACCCGCTAATAATTAAAAGAAAAATTGGAACTGAGGTAAGTTGCAATAAACGCATAAAAGGTGGCAGTTTATGTATGTGCATGCGAATGGTCTGACTTGCCAACAGCAACATACATATGTATGTGTGCATGTACATCCACACGAATCGAAAGCCCCAAGAAATAAGAGCCTTTTGTTGTATTGTATTATTAATAAAGTTTTTGTTTTTTTAGGCCGCCAGTACACAGGGACAAAAGGGCCTCGTACCCACTGCGTTCCAGCCCAGCTACATGGATCATACCTCCGATGGGCATACATTGCACGAACAGGTGACACTAGCCACCCCATGTGCAACCGACCCGACGCACACAATTCCTAGCCCACCTAAGGAAAAGATAAACGAGGCAACACCTACGTGCAACAGAAANCGTACCCACTGCGTTCCAGCCCAGCTACATGGATCATACCTCCGATGGGCATACATTGCACGAACAGGTGACACTAGCCACCCCATGTGCAACCGACCCGACGCACACAATTCCTAGCCCACCTAAGGAAAAGATAAACGAGGCAACTCCTACGTGCAACAGAAAGGGCACAACAGAAGAGCCAAGAAGGTACATTTGAAGTAGCCTGAGATCAGCGGTGCTAGCTAAAGGCAAAGGCAACAACAATAAAAATACAAAACAGCAGGGAGAAGCCATCAAATCGAGAGCGGGTCAATGCCCGCTGCATAAAATTTGGAATCTGCAGTTCGTCAGGAGGAGAAAAGAAGAAGAGAGCTAAAGAAAGGAGATACTTACCGACGTGGGAGAAGGTGGAATCTAAATGAGCTGAATAGAGGGGAGAAAAGTAGCATACATCCATACATACGTACCACCGCGCGAACAACCGCGGCTCACACATAGATTTTTTTTTGCTTATTACTTTAGCCTAGTTTTATTTATTAGAGTTTTGCTTCGTTCCTAGTGTTCCATATGAACCCAATTGAATTTAAATTCTAATTGGTTTATTTTTTTATTATCATTTGAGTTAAGTTTTGGAGAATTTAGGAGCTATTGACATTTTTGCGTTTGTCACTTATTCAATTAGTTATCCACATTTTTTCACTTCCCATCCCGATATGCAATTATGCTTTAGTTATTCTCTCACCCTTTTTTTCTTTTTACCATAGTTTTATTACAACACATGTCATTTAGTTTGCTTTTATTTCCTTTTTAGTATGAACTTAATTTACATTAACTTTTCACGTTATCTTTATCCTTAGTTAACTCAATTAATTTGATCAACCTAGATTTTTTTATCTATGTATGATTCGGGATATTAGCGTTTTAGTTTATATTACACCTCAGGCTACACACATTCTCATGGTCATTCATTTTTTTTTGCATCTCTATTATTTCTTTTGCGGAATTAAGTGCATAGTTTTTTTATCGGAGACGATATGCAACATTTTTGTTTGCTTTAGTTTTCATTTTCCATTTCTTTGAGTAATATTCTTAGTTGCATTTGTTTAAATATTTCGGGTTGGCACTTTAATTTTCAATTAATTAATTTTTTGAGTTCGCAATTATTTGCCAGACGGTTGACTCGCTCACCGCGCGTAAGTAAGGGCGAGTGATTAGGAAGGCAAACAAAATAGTCTCCCGACCTCAAGTGGGACGCATATGCCCATATGTATGTATGTATGGTTAGGGTTGTGTATATTTATGTTCCACCCCCTTTTCAGCAATCCTCTCAACGTGTTGGTACCATCATCGTGGGAGAGCTAAGGTGAGTGGAAAACTGATTTTATCACATATATATATATATACATCTATATACATACCTACATATTCATATACTTAAGTTTTCGGTTTTATGGTGATCTTCGCTGTTTTTTTTTGACAATACCTTGCGTTCACTGTAATACGTACATACATGCATATATATGTATTTCAGTATGTGTGTATATAAGCATTTATTTTAATTCCGCAGACAAAAGGGGTGTTCAAAAATACAAACTAGTGTGAAAAGATTCGATGATTAGAATTGAAATTTTTGAATTTTCATATTTGAAGAGTTTTTTTATCTTTGTTTCAATTTCCATTTATTTTTATTTTTTTGCTAATTAGTTTATATATATATATGTATATATATTATTTTTTTTTCATGTTGAATTTGTATATCTACATGGATCCACATCTTTGAAGTTTTTTTTTGGGAGTAAATTCTTGAGTAACTCAAGTCGACTAGTTTAAGCAGTTAGCAGTATTTGAAATTTCTATATTTTTTTTATAAAGTATTAAGGCATTGGAATTGTGAATTTTGTGCATTGCATTAATTAGTTAGACATTTCCTTCTTTTATATAATTAGTTTTAGCCTAAATTTAGGAACATATGTACTCGGCTATATTGCGAATGTGAATGTATAAATATAGAGAGACATAAATGAATATCACCATGGAATTTATAATTGGCTGAAGGATTGTTTATGTAGGATGAAGTGGTGAAGGGCCATATTTGGTGTGGGTGTTACACCTGAGCTTAAGAGGGGACGAGATGGCGTAGACCTAATGACAGGACAGAGACAAGACAGATAGACGAATAGACTGAAGGACTATGTCAGGCAAAGGGGGCGCTGCAAATAGGTAGGAGTCGGCGCAGCGCCCATGGCTGCGTATGTAAGGCACGCAGAGGGGGTGGGATGACTCCACCTGACGGGACGGGCCTCCTCTTTCAGCTTTCTTTCGTCTTTATTTGGATTCGCTTCTTGCTACGTTTAGCTTCCCAAATCAGGCATGACTACTTTGTTTGTTTGTGTTGGGGTAGGTGAAGCAGGTGAGGCAGGTGAGAACAACCCCCCCATCCGGCGAGCTAGCATGGGCTGGAACTACCATGCCTGAAAACCCACCTTGCCGCCACCTACAGGCACCCCACATAACATGCGGTTCATACTAGTTGTGAGGTAGTTTACAACTAGTACATTTGACTACAGGGTATGTATACCGCACAGGTAGTGCAACAGTTTCCATAGTCAAGTGGAACTCAAAATTAATTTTGTCATATACATTAAACTGACCCAATTTTGCACTATGTCGTTATTTTTTTTAGGCTGATAGCTAAATACTTTCGAATACTTGTAAAAACTCATCTAACCATAATTTTTCTTGCGAAATTCAGATACATACTGACCCGATGCGAGACTCCATTTTGTAAACATTTTGGCTACTAATATTTTAGAGTGGGTTCAAGGAGGTGCCAAGGGTAGATTTCGTGGAAAATTCACGCGCTCATAGTCTAAATATATGTTTTCAAGGACACTGAACACGATAACATTATTTAAATATATAAACTTTTCACTTTTAGTGTCTAATAGTTATGGTTTAGAATTTGTTTTTATCAACAAAATATAGTCAGAATTGCTAAAATTGCTCGTTCAAAGAGCTTTAAAATTAAAACGGTATGACTTGGTTGAATCAGTGTCAAGATCAGTGTTGCCAGTTTAGCCGGTTGCGATAGCAAACAGCCGGAGAAAATTTTGTTTAGCCGGCAGCCGATTTTTCTGCCGTTTTGCAAAAGAAAATTAGCAGTTTTTAGCCGATTTTGCTAAAGGCCTTATTTTTTTTAAATTACAATACAGAAGTTTCCTTTTTTAAAATTTTTGGGATATGTACATATAAACTGGGACACGAAAGTTTTAGCAAGTTTTGGCAATTTTTCTTTAGTTTATTTATTGGTTATTATTTTTTTAATGAAAGTGTAGTTGATTACTAAAAAAGCACCATTTAAATCCAAATTTCATACTTTGTGCAAAAATTATGAAAAACTGCAAAGTTTTATCAACATTTTTATAAAAATTCTAATTTTAGTATAATAAAGAGCCAATTTAAAGTAACTAGCACATTTTTTTGGCAATTTTTTTGTTGACGGTGTTCCGCATTTTTTCCCCATATAAAAAATGGTAGAACGTACTTTGTATGGAAAAAAAAGGCACGTCATACAAAAAAATTCCAAAAATCAATGGTAGGTCCTAGCTACTTCAAATTTGAACTATATTATATTAAAATTTAATAGATTATAAAACTGCATACCATAATTTTTCTAAAGATGCGGATTAAAAAGTTACAAATTTTGGTGAAATTTTGAAGAATTTTCATAATTTTCACACAAAGTTTGAAGTTTGGATTTATATGGTGTTTGTTAAGTAATCAGCTATTTTTTTATAAGAAAATAATAAACATTTAATAAACTAAGAAAAAATAGCCAAAACTTGCTAAAATGTCGCGTCCCACTTTATATTTGAGTCACTGTATTTTTTCCAAAGAAGGCGGGGATTTTCTTCACACAATTTTTGTTACGAGTGTCTTAAATTTAAGTGTGAAGTTTTATTCGCAACACTTGAAAAATAACGAAACAAAGCAAAATTCTCTGGGAAGACGATATCTGTGAATATTTGTATCAGGTATGTGCAGAGAGGTTATTGAAAAACGGGAACGTTTCGAATATACGGACATAAAAGTAAAATTAAATTGTTTAATTGAGTAGTCCCCTTGCAAAGTGCGCTATGTACATTTTTTTCGATTTTTAATTTTTGGTGGTANTGCCGTTTCATACTAAAACTTTTATATAAAAACAAGAGAAATTTTTTTTTACAAAAATATTTTTTTAAAAAATGAAAAAACTAATAAAATAAGTATAACGAAGAAGTATTAATTAAGAAACGGCTAGAATTAAAAAAAAAAATTGTTTCTGGATATCATTAGAAATAGAAAGGACCCCAACAATAGAGGTGAAGTAAACCCCACAGCTAGAGTTTTTTTTTCAACAAAATGGGTGGACAAACATCAAAAATAGATAAGCCTAATGCTAATGTAGTAAACTCCATTGAAATAATAGATCATAGCGAAGCATTAAATACCATCAAGGTAATGCTTTTGATTATTAGTATTGTAAGCTGCATAATCTTATTTTTAAAGATTTACTCTGCACATAATAAATTTCTGAAAAAGAGGTACATGAGCCGTGCTGACGGTCTAGATAAGGTTTAAACAAAATTTTATTTTTTCTTACTCTTTCTCTTAGCCTCCCTTCCTCAATGAGCAAATGGGAAGAAATGTTTAAGGCACTCGTAGAAGAAAAAACTACAGCAGAAAAATCTTACAAGTGCATAAAAAGGAATATAAAAATAAAAGCAGAAACAGGAGTGAAACATCTCACACTAATATTAGATTCATTAAATAGATTATGTTCGGCAATACGTAGTGTAAATAGCCATCTAACTAGCAGTCACCAAAAAGAGGCATACTAAATATTTTCTAGTGTTAGGGACAAATTGGTATCCTCACTAGCAAGGTATAACATAGAGGAGACAGTACCAACCACAATCGAACAAAATATACAAATAGACTTTAGCACTTACTTGTTGGAATCCCCCTCCGACCTAAACGAAGAACAAAAAGGAATCGAGTGTCAGATACTAAATTGCCAAACAACAAACGTCAAAATGGCACAGACAACAGTATAATTCATTATTACAGCTTCGTGAATTTGACGGTAAGCAAGAGAACCTACATAGTTTTTTAGATCCTCTTGATATCCTAGAACAAATCAAGGATAGTCATGAAGCCATAGCAAT